ATGGTGACTTATCTCGATGCTGGCAGTTTCGGTGATGGCTTTGAAGGTCACGGCTGGAAATGGGCGGGTACCATCGTGCGTGCTGGTGAGGTGGTGACGATGCCCGTGGTGGCGCTCATCGGCTTCTTGGCGCAGCCTCGCCTGAACTACGCGCTTGCTTGCGACGGACTTTTGCCACGTATCTTTGCTGAGGTGGATTCCAAGGGCAACTTGTTCAAGAACACGCTCATCACGGGTCTGTTCTTCACGGTGATTGCCATCGTGGTGCCCTTCGATACCCTCTGGGACATTGTCAATTTCGGTGTTATGATGTCGTTCATTATTGCCAACGTGTCGCTGACTTTGGCGCGTATGAAGCCGCAGTCGCCCAAGCTTTCTCCTATCCTGATCGCCGCGCTCGTTGTGACGGCTGGATGCACGGCCTTCCTGTACCAGGAGGGATACGAGAACAATGCTTCGACTGCGTGTCTTGTTTTCGCTATTATCTTCCTCGTCATCACCGTTGGTATCTCGGTGATTCTCTTCGTCAAGTGCCCGCAGACAGCCAATGCGCCCGGTTTGTTCGCCGCCCCGCTGGTGCCGTTCATTCCGATGATCTGTATCCTTGCCGACTGGTACATGATCGCGCAGATCGACCACTTGGCTCTGGGTCTTAGTTTCGCCTGGATGGCTGTCGGCGCGCTCTCATACTTTGTCTACGGATACTTCCATGCCGAAGCACGCGACAACTGGAGCCAGTTGATGGGTCAGAGCCTTCCCTTGCACGGAGACAGCCTCTCAGCACCCATGCTCTCGGCCAAGTACTCTTCGGTGCAGGACCTCAAGTCCCCCGCCGTATAGGTAGTTCTACGTGGTAAATCGGGGCAGTCTGTCAACTATCTAATTGACTTCTCCCTCGCTAGGTTCTATAATGATTGCAGCTCCGGCAGCATTGAGTTATCTGGTGTGTCGCGCTCCATATGCGTCGTTCTATCGATCTGCAGTGTGTTGCGCTCCAGACTCATGGCCATTCGGCTCATGGGCCATGTCTGCGAACGCCTCAGCTTGAAGTTGTTTGAGTTGATGATTGTAATGTTGCGCAAGCGCAACTTGGGCAACTTCAGACTTTGTGTGCACCACCTAATCACTTCAGATTCCTCCACGCTCAGTCGCAACTATGCCGCTTCGCTCGCCTTCCGACGGCGGCGACGGCGCCAAAGGGGCCGCACAAGGCCGCAAGACCGAGTACGGCACCTTCTCCAGCTCCGATTCCGCCCAAGAACCGCAGAAAACGGCCCAGAAATCGCCGCAGAAGGACACAAAACCCGACGCTAACAAAGTCTCTAAACCTCCAGCTAATGCGCTTCATCCCGAGTCACCAAGCACCGCCTGGTGGCGTAAACTATTCTTCGAGTTCTTCGACAAGAAACTTTTAAACAGTGAGCTGGACGCGAGCCAAGTGTGGGAGCTCACACCCCAGCACACAAGCGTCGAAGCCTCCGCGGCCTTCCGAGAGGTCTACGCGCAAAGCCGCGAGTGTCGAGGAATGTGTAGAATCAAGCGCGCAATCTTCCGCACTCATAGGTGGAGCCTGACAGTCTGCTGGGTGCTCCAATTCGTCAGTCTACTGTGCGACGCCTGCACACCCGTGCTGCTGTACATGCTGCTGACTATGGCCATCTCCAGGGAGTACACACAGACGCAAATATTTGCTCTACTGGGTCTACTGTACGTCACAGCACTGGCTGAAGTGCTTCTCCATAGTCACAGTCACTTTTTAGGCTTCAAGATCCACATAAAGATCATGGGGGCGCTGCGTGCGCTAGTATTTGAGAATACTATCAGCCAACCGGAGCATATTCCGGGCCATGCAGCTGGGAGTTACGACAGTGAGAGCGGCAAGAAGAGGATGGCGGAGGTGGCGCATTTGTACGCTGAAGATGTGGTGAATGTGGCCAAAATGGTGAACCACATGCAGTTCTTGTGGCGGAGCGTGCTGCAGATTATATTTGAACTCTGCATCCTCGTACAAGTGATCGGCATTAAATTTAAGCCTGTAGCAATCGCTTTCCTCTTCATGGCAGTGTTTGCAAAGTTCCTATCAGCAGCTGGGAGTCGACTACGTCGCAAGCTGCAGAAGAAGATCGAAGCGAGACTGAACGTGATTCACGAGTGCTTTAAGGGCATTCAGATGGTTAAACTCAATGCGTGGGAGGATAAAATGCAGGAGAAGATTGAACGCGCCAGGAAGGAGGAGAACAGAGAGCGTCGTAGAGTGAACGTTGTGGCAGCTCTACAGTACTGCGTTGGAGTGGACTCGCCCAACTTGGCCTCTATATTCATTTTCGGGTGGGTTGCGCTGCAAGATTCTAGTGCGTTGTCACCAGCGCGAGTTTTTCCGGCGCTTTTGTTGCTGCGTCGCATTAAGACGCACTTCTCCAGTATCGCGGTGCTTTTTGACGTCGCGAGTAAAGGCCACGCATCATTTTGCAAGATTGACAGTTTCTTGACCGAATGCGATGCTAAAGCTTGTGCTCGAAACCAGACCGAGGATTGTCGGCGTCCACAGATTAGCACTGCCGGCTCCAGCGCGCCAGAAACTGTAGTGGCGATGGAGCATGCATGCTTTGGTCAGTCAACGGAAGAAGGGAAGGCATTGCTGGCTAACGTAACATTCCGCTTACGGCGAGGACAATTGGCTATGATTCAGGGGAAAGCAGGTGCTGGAAAGTCCACAATACTCAATGCACTGCTGGGTGATATCGAATGTCTTGATGGGAGCGTTTATATCGCTAAAGATTGTCGGGTTGCATACTGTGCACAGGAGCCGTGGCTGCAGACGCTGAGTATCCGCGACAACATCCTGTTTGGATCGGCTTTTGACTACAAGAAGTACTGGTGTGTGGTCGAAGCGTGCTGTCTGAAGGATGATCTGCGGATGCTGCCAGAAGGTGACAATACACAGGTCGGGCCAAAGGGAATCAACTTGTCTGGTGGACAAAAGGCTCGTATTGCACTAGCGCGTGCATGTTATGCCGACGCGGACGTATACTTGCTGGACTGCCCGTTGGCTAGTGTTGACGCTATTGTCCAGAACGACATTTTTACCAAGTGCATTGTGGAGCTGCTGCGGTTCAAGACGGTGCTTATGGTGACGCACAATCGAGAGCTGTCATCATCTAGTTTTGTGGATCATGTGCTTCGTATTGAAGATCTCACAGTCGTCGTTGAGTCTGCTGAAAAAGGTTGGGAAGTCGGTCGTCATCCATCCAGAAGAGTGGATCCAAGAAACTCACTTCCTCCATGGAAGAGCGAGGAGCCACAAGACAATAAGAAGGAGACATTGCATCCACGCGGCCTTGCGCTTTGGGAGTCTGCTGCGCTGCCATTATCGTCCACAGCAATGCTTGTGAAACCAAAATCTACGAAATCACCAGTGACTTCGATTACTACGCAGGTACCTGTAACGTCAGAGTGCGTTGGGCTTAAAGTGGCCAGGAAGTTCAAGTGGAAAGAGGAGTGGTTTTCGATCAAGACGTGGAAAATGCTCTTGAAAGGCAACAAGTGCATGCGCTTTCACGTTCCAGCCAAGTTCTTTCTCTTTCTCTACGCTGTCGCTGTCACCTCAAAGGATGTATTCCTGATGAAATGGAGTGACCGAGTTGATCACGGAGACGTCTCGTCGATGAAACACTCAGCGAACGTCTACGGTGCTTTAGTGCTCAGCTCCATGATCTCTGGATTCGCCAGCTCTGTGCTGCATGCTCACGCGATGGCCAACTCTGCCAACATGATGTTCCATGAGATGACTGCAGCGCTGCTGCGTGCCCCGATGACGTTCTTCTACTCAACACCCGTGGGAGAGCTATTCAATCGATACTTCAACGATGTTCGAGTGCTAGATACGACGTTCGCATTGGCTTTTATGGCCATGTTCCGTTCGGCTATAACGATTCTCGCTGCTGATGGCATTCTCTGGTACTTCACGGGTATTGCGGGTACTAGCATCCTGTTGATCGTGATGTACGTGGTCAAAGAGTTCATGACGTTGGGGTTCCTGGTGGGTTTGCTGCAGCTCTCGTTCCGTGCTGAAGCTGCCAACTTGAACTTCATTTCGGAAGCGCTGGACGGCTCCGCGACGATCCGTGCGTTCGGTCGACAGCAAATTAACCGTTTTCGAGTGGAACATGGAGTGCTGTCCGATGAACTCATGAAGGGCCAGTATCACACTGAGGCGTTCAACCGATTCGTGCTGATCCGCTGTGATCGTGTCCTCGGCATTCATATGTTGCTGCTGATGGTGCTGCTGTCTATGAACAACGTGTCTCCAGCTGAGCTTGGCCTGATGCTCTACTACGTATTCACGATCAACTCCGATGTCTACACGTTGAGCTCCAAGCTGCTGGAAGTTGCGCTGTGTTTGCTAAATGTCGAGCGAGTGCGCAAGTACGGACTTATCGAGCCGGAACTGCAGAGTTACGAAGGTAACCCACTGGCAATCCCTGCAAGCTGGCCACACCGCGGCGATGTTGTATTCGAGAACGTTTCGTTCAGTTATGCTAGTTCGTCGAATGATGACAAGCAATCGCTGGCGCTTTGTGACGTGAGCTTCTCTGTGCAAGGCGGTGAGAAGATTGGCGTGGTTGGTCGTACCGGATCTGGCAAGAGTTCGTTAGCGATGGCTCTCTTCCGTGTACACCCGTTGGCTAAAGGACGCATTCTTGTTGATGGGATTGATGCGTCATTGCTGACGTTGAATGCACTGCGTACAAACGTGTGTATTATCCCGCAGTCGCCGCTATTCTACAGGTGTTCAGTCCGCAACTACCTCGATCCGTTCAACGAGTTTGGTGACGTAACGCTGCTGGACGCGTTGCGTAGATGTGGACTCAAGGGCAGCATGGCCAACCTCGAAGCCGAGCTGTCCGACAACGGCGAGAACTGGAGTTTGGGTGAACGACAGATGCTGTGTCTCGCGAGAGCTGTGTTGCGGCCGTCACGTATCGTGGTGCTGGATGAGTCTTTCTCTGCTGTCGACCAGACGAATCAGTCGACGTTGCTTAATGTGCTCGATACGGCCTTCCGAGACTCAACACTTTTTCTCATCACGCATCGGTTGGATGACGTACTTCAGTTCGACAAGATCCTGGTCATGCAAGAGGGACAGGCGGTTGAGTTTGGACCAGCGGAGGACCTTGCGGCAGACCCAGACAGTGCGTTTTATGAGTTTCTCGAAACGACGCTATTGACGTACTAGTGCGGTGTCTTATCGAGGCAGGAACATAGATTCCAGAAGGTAAAATGTAAACTACGTAGTAATACTTAACGTTTTGCTAAGTTACAAGTAATAGCATTGCTTTGTTTGTTTGTTTGTAGTAGGATAAAATGCAAGTGCATGTTTAACCACAACAAGAATCCTACGAGTCTCCAGTTAGCCTACAGCCCGTGTCACAATAACTAGTTATGATCCATGAGAGCTTTTACGTAACTTAGCAAGCATCTCTCTTCACCTGTTGCCGAGTGATCTTTCCAACATACTGTGTCACGTCGATAACAACCTTTTCTCTGTAATTCTTTCCGTCCGTTGTTTTGTAGGGACGAAAGTAAATGGTCGTAAGTGTTGGTCGAGGCGATGAAGAGAAACTCTTCGCGAGTCTTTAAATTTTCATAGACACCTTTCAAGCACTGATAATCGATGGGGAGTGCTCTACCCATAGTCGACTGAGCGCAGATGACAAGACTTTCACGTGCAACAACAAAACACTGCGTCAATAAATTGACGAAAACGCCTTCGAAAGGGGAATGTACAGCACTAAGTCATTCTTGATCTCGGATGCCGCTTCAACCATCTTGACTATCAACTCCGTCGGACAAGCTCTGGCATTCGACTTTAGTTAATGAGGTTCACGCAAATTCGTTGTAAGTCCCTGTGTGTGGCGAACGCTGAGCAAACCGAGCACAGCTCAATGCCTCCGTTGTGCGATTTTGCATCCAAGACAAACGGTGAAGTGTCCAATAAACCAGATCAGTTTTACGCTGCATTTGCTGCACAAATGTGCTATTGCACCCAATTCCTCACACGGCTAGCATTTCCTGTGGCATGGACTTTCTGGAAGCACAAGCGCGGACTTCACCACACCATCACGACGTCGAAGGCCTGTTTCCAACGTACTTGGAAGATATTTAGTGACAGTGAGAGCAACATCTCAAAAGACAGTCGTGCTCGTTGACAACCACGATAACAAAGCCAACTTCGTCAACCACGTGCTCGCATCACATGTGAACTCCGCTGCGATCTCCGCCTTGATCGTCTTCTTCAAATACACCATGTCGCTTATCCGGAGTTGTTTATATCCATTCACACCGAGAACGCTTTCCAAGTCAACTAACGATTGCACAGAACAGCTTCATTATTTTAGAGGTACAGATTCTGGACTGCCGAACAGAATAAAAGTTAGCACATGATCCTATTGCAGACATCTTCCTGTCAATCAAGGACTGAGCCAGCTTAAAAAGTGTTATCTTACGAAAAATAAAAAGTAATAGAAGTACAAGCATTAATGCACCA